TTAAAGTTATGGAGCGAAATAGGCACTAATTTTGGCTAAATCATGAGTAAGTATTTATCGAACAAATTTCCCATGCTATAAGGTACGACAGAACCGCACTGTTTACTAATATGCATTGTGCTGTGGAAGAATTCCAGAATAAGTAAAAAAGTGGAATAACAATCTCTTTTAAGACTGGAAAATTTTATGCGATGTTGAAGCCAAGTTTAAGGAATCGTATTTATTTTCAGAAACAAGCAAGAATTTAAGTTTTAAAAATTATGTTTAGATATCCTGTGAAGTTTTTCTGCACAAAGTGCAGTAACAAAAAAAATTTCGTCGGAAATTTTGTTTAACCACACAGCTGTCCTTGCGCATAAGCAAACTTTGCCATACATGTTACAGTGAAGTGATGAAAAGGAGGCCTTATTAAATGTAATTCAGGTAGAAATATACTTTTTTGTAAATTACACGTTCCGCTTATGTTATCAAGAAACGGAACAGGCAGAAGAATAATAGGCATTTCAAGAAATGGCCATATTTAGGGCCAGACTTTTTGCATTCGTAAGCTTACAACCGATTATGGAATTAATCCACTAATGAGGAAAACAATCCATTTTAAAGAGAAAAGTAAGTTCTTTCATCTCCAGTCAAATCGAATCTTTTATCTTCAGGTAAATTAAAGAAATTGTCAAAAGTCTCCAATTTCATCGTGACATTACCTTGGAAAAAATTAATATACACAGAAATTCGTCAGCCGAATATCTAATCAAAGCCATTGTTAAAGAGGTAACCTTGTATGGAAAGTTTCTTTATTAATATTAGGACTAACAATATCGCAATTCCGTTGCAGACATGATTTATTCTCGGCAATGTGGTTTGCTGTTTCGAGACATTTCTACATATGAGCAACATGGTCAGCATTATAAGAACTGATATCCAAAAACACTTTCTTTCGGTAAATGCTCTTTTTATCTATCTTATTTTAAAGGTTTTGGTGTAAACGGCGAATAGAAGCGCAATTTTTCAATGAAGACACTGAAAACGAAGAAAATAATGGCAGACTATTTGACGATATTCAATAAATAGTAATCCACTAATGGTAATATGTACAGAATATTTTGACTAAAGAAAAGGACTTTCTATATAAAGGAATTGGTTGCATTCCGTTTTAAACTTAATCAAATACTTAAATTTATTTTTGTAATTTATAGCCATTTTTTACATCTCCGGAACTTGGGGTTTATCGGAAATTTTTTATTTTATTTAGCAAC